ATAACCTTTAAAAAGCATTATGAAAATGTTTTTGAGTTTAAGCTACTATATGCAAAGCTTGGTTTGTTTTTAGTAACAATATTCCTCAAATGTTTAAGTAATATCTGGTAAAATAGCACAACCACATAAAAAAGAGGGCTCAGTGGAATCTGAGTTGTAAATATTTCTATAATTTATTAAAGTTAGCAACATGCCATTGGCCACTTGACTATACTTCTATCAGTGTTACAAAAATGCAAAAAATGATAAACTTCCATGTAAATTAAACTCACAGAATCATGGAATCAGTGAATTTGAAGAATGTTTAGATAACTATGTCAAGGTCTTTTTAAAAAGGCAATTATTTTTCTTTTTAACATTAGCCATTTTCCTACTAAAAAAAAGCTACTTTCATTTAATCATAAATAATGCCCAAAGTCTGATTAATATTAAACAATGATTACAAATCAACCCACCTAGCTTTCTGAAAATAATCATAATGCTTGGAAAATGGGGGGGGGGAGAGAAAACCATGCCCAGCAGCAGATGGATGGACTCAGTTTTGGTGGTTACTGATGAAAGACCTGAAGGAATAAGTTATGTGCCTTTAAATCAAAATGTTTATTTGTGCAGTAGCAGGCCCATTGTACATCATTCATGGACAAATTCAGCCTTTTTCTACATGTTACTAACCTATAATTGCTTTACCTGTTTTAGAAGTTAGAAAAATTACACACAAATAGTCTTGCTGCTTTTCTCCTAATATCTATGAATAAACTGTCCCTGAAGTAAGTATTATCTGTAAAATAAGTATCTGTAAAGTATTAATTCTGTGTCCTTGTCTAAAATGCTTAAAAACTTATAGAAAGAGTAGTAATACAATCTACCCGCTGGGTGGCATGATTAAGCATTTCTTGCCATGCAGAATCAAATTGACGTTTATCATCTTCCAGCAGCCTCTGTTCTGCAAGAGAAATGGTTTCCTTAGCAGCCCGTAGCACCTCTGTTGCTCTCTGAAAATCCTGTGTTGCTTTCTGAGCCTCTAGTTGAGCCTGCAATGAAAGATTAAATCAGTCTAGTACTTTAGAAGGAAAGGATAAATAATACCCAATGATTTCTTCTGATTTTCATTTGCTGATCTTAAAATGTCAGTACAATAGATGCTAGTAGTGACTATATCTACTGATTGAAGGATTATATCCTGTTTACATGTAACATTCCCCATCTCATAATATCATTAAACAGATTTGTGTTGATCACTGCTTACTTTAGTGTTGTTGTCTCCAAAAATGTATAACTTATTCTATAGTCTCACTTCAACATCCCCAAAGGACAATTCATGTAGGATATTATAAATTAGGCCTGAACCATCTTCCCTTCACATTTTGATGATGAAGTTCCTTTTCTTCTCTCAAAAAATATAAAAGCAAATCATGGCTATGAATTGCTTGCTCAGTTTTGTTAATGTTTTTTTAAAAATACCCTATATTATAGCATTCAATTTTAAACCACCATTTTGCAACTATAAATGCTAGCTAATTAACCATTTGAGGTTCCATTAGCACAAAAAGACATATACTATTTTTTTCAGTCATGCTCATTTACATAATAAAGTCTTGTTGCTAAGACACCACCCTGAGTGCAGAACACTTATTTTAAAACATGACTTTTCTAATAAATTAAAAGCAGTATCTTCAACTTTTGGAATCCAGATTAGCTTTATTTAAAGCAGAACAAAAAATCAACAAGATTTAAGACATGTATTATTACTGAAATCCAACTTAAGTAATAGCATATAATCTTTAGAGCAGTTAATAATTCCTATTAACTACTCTAATAGCAAAAAATCTGATCCAGTCCTCTATCCTCTAATGCTGAAAGTTGTTTGTAGAAATATACAATCCAAAAATAATCAGATCTTACCACAAATCATCAATTTAATTACTTGGTAATTAAGGAGGTTTTTCATTAATGTAGGAGTGGGGAAATTTTGGCCCTTCAGATGTCAGTAAAATACCCCTTGCTGAGAAGGTCAGTTCCATTGCTAATACATAAATATCCAGTTGTTTTCATCTAATGACCATTCTTATTTTCCTTTGACTTCTCTCTTCTTTGTATCTACTGATAGCATCATCTCTTAATGAAATGTTTCAAACAATAATTGTAACTGACATTTTCTGCCAATCTATATAAATTAATTCAGAGACTTAGTCTCCAACAAATCTCTCTCACACACACATATATGCATATAAGATAAATTGGGAAACACCCTATAATATTATTTGTAATAATACAAGGAAGCATTCCAGAATAATTTGTACCATAACAGAGTTCATTCAGTTCATATAGCCATTTTGCTTTTTTAAAAAAATCCTTAATTGTATAGAAAATGTCTAAAGACAACTTTTCCCACAAACAAAAGTTCATAGGTCATTGATGTAAGAGTTATCACAACTGACAAGAGGCAGAGGCTATTCATTAAAGTTACAAGCAAGAAACCAAGTATTTGCTTATGTGTTAGTAGCCTATTCAATGTACAGCTATTCTTCCAAAGACTTGTGTGTCAAGCACAGAAAATCAGGAGTCCAGTCAGTTCAAATGAATATACCGTATTTTCCGGCGTATAAGACGACTGGGCATATAAGACGACCCCCAACTTTTCCTGTTAAAATATAGGGTTTGGGCTATACTTGCCATATAAGACTGCCCCTCTTCCAATGCACACCAAATAAAAATTAAAAAACATCAACTGGCTCACCTACAATGTAAAAGCAGCTGTGCTAGACCCAAAATGGACCCTGTAACAAGCAGGAACCTCACACAGCCACAAAAAGCCCCCCCAAAAAACTTTCACACTCTAAACACACACAACACAACACAACTGGCTCACCCACAATGTAAAAGCAACTGTGCTAGACCCAAAATGGCCCCTGCAACAAGCAGGAACCTCACACAGCCACAAAAAGTCCAAAAAACCAACTTTCACACTTTACACACACAAAATTCCACATACAGCTTTGTGAGATTTTGTGTGTTTGTGTAGTTGGAGTGAAACACTACACAAACACACAAAATCTCACAAAGCTGTACAAATATTATTTTATTTTATTTTATTTTTATTTTTATATGAAAGCTAAATTTAAAACTTCCTAAACGGCTTCCTAAATGGCTAGGTCTAAAAAAGAACAACTAAAAAAACCCCAATTGACTATTTTTTTTAAAGCTCCCAAAGGGGAAAAAAACTTACCCAATAGAACAGAGGTCTCCAACCTTGGCAACTTTAAGACTTGTAGACTTCAACTCCCAGAATTCCTCAGCCAGCTTTGCTTTGCTGGCTGAGGAATTCTGGGAGTTGAAGTCCACAACTAACTCCTTGCTTGATTGCAGGCAGGGAGTTGCTTGCTTGCCTGAATAGATTCAAGCAAGCAAAGCAAGGCAAGCGTTGCGATTAGCAGCTGAGGTAAGCAAGCTGGAGGGGGAAAACTTTTTCCCTTTTACATGGCTCTGGCCATCCCAGCTGAGTTGCAGGGAACTCAGCTGGGATGGGATCGACCGTCAGAACTGGGACCCTCAGAGCCATGGTTCTGGCGATCCCAGCTGAGTTGCAGGGAACTCACTGGGATCGTCAGAGCTGGGATCGTCAGAGTAAAAGGTAAAAAACTTTTTTCCTTTTACGTGGTTTCTGGCGATCCCAGCTGAGTTGCAGGGAACTCAGCTGGGATCGCCAGAGCTGGGATCGCCAGAGCTGGGATCGCCAGAGCCATTTAAGGCTCGTCAGAGCCTTTCGGGCTGGTCTGCCTGGTTACAGGAGAACTACACCCGGCGTATAAGACAACCCCCGACTTTTGAGAAGATTTTCATGTGTTAAAAAGTCTGTCTTATACGCCGGAAAATACGGTAGGTTTATTGTATCCTAATGCTCTCTACAAGAATCTGAACTTAAAACTAAGCAAGAATTGAAAAATCAAGTGATTGATTTAGCATGGTGGCCGCACGTGCAAATACAATTAAGGTATGAGAAATATGTAAAAATGTATGGTTTCTATAAAGAACCAACATAATTAGATCAGATGCTATTAGTGATGGATGAAAAATTAATTTAAAAATGTATAGCCATCTATAGAGTATTAAAATGGAAGAAGAACAAGTGAAAGAAACTGATAGTGTGGGCTAAAAACTTTGGATATACTATAGAGCTAGATAAATGGCAGAAACTGTAGGAGAGAAATTACAAATTAACAGTGTCAACTGCCTACAAGGAAAATTTATATAAAATGTTTTATAGGCGGCATTTACCACTGACAAGAATGGCAAAGATGTTTAAAAAGATGTTAGCCAAATGTTGGAAATGCAATCAGATACTGGGTTCGTATTATCATATGTGGTGGACATGTCCAAAGGCAAAAAAAATTGGACAAAAGTACATACATAGTTAAAAAAAATGGTAAAGCAACATACAGAAATATTCTTGTTGGGTATTTTACCAGAAAAGTTCAATAAAAGGAATACATATTTAATTTTACATGTGTTAACAGCAGCGAGAAGTGTGTTTCCACAACAGTGGAAAAATGAAGAAATCCCTACAGATGAAAGTATAATAAAAAAAAATATTTGAACGCAGAGATGGATAGACTAACACTCAGAATAAAGGAGAAGGAAGAAACAATATTTTTTAACATGGGACTCATTTTACCAATGCTTAGTTGACAGAAACAGAAGTTAGAAACTTAAAAGTTTAAGAGAATGATTATATAATGAAGAACTATTAGTATGGATAAGCAAATGCTATTATGTGACTATGATCAATGCTATGAATATTATTATTATTACTATAATTTTTCAAAACATTACCCAGACAACCCACTGTTCATGTAGATATTGAATTTTTATGTTTACTAAAGAAAAATGTATAAATAAAGTATTTTTAAAAAAAGAATCTGAACTACTAACGGTCAAAGCAAATTGGCAATAGATAAGGATCAACAGAATTCAAGGTGGACTTAGATCTCTTGGAGACGAAGGGACTCAAGACTGATAACACATTTAATCCCACTCTCAGGCTCAGCCGGTTCATCTCCTACACTGAGCTTCACATCAGCCAGAAACTTTTCCCAGAAGCTGCAAAAACAGAAAAGGTAAGTTGGGTGCAGCTGGCCCTGGAGCTGGCCCTAGGTGCATGAGTGGCTAAATGGAAAGAAAGTTCAGGGCCTGCAGGCTATAGCTACTTGTGTGTACCCCAGCCAACCTGAATTTCCCTAAGTAGATGAGTGGCTGGGTGAGAAGAAGCTCAAGGCTTGCAAGCTACAGTCACTTCACATGCTGGCCTGAGCAACCCTGGATGGATAAGTGGTGGGATGGGAAGGAAGCCCAAAGCCTGCAAATAAAAAAGCAGGTCTGAAGTCTGCATAATAATAATAATAATTTTATTTCTATACCACCCTTCTCCCGAAGGACTCAGGGCGGTGTACAGCCTATTTAAAAACACAGACAAAATAACAATGTAAAATTTTAAATAATTAAATAAATTGGCTCAGATTTAAAACCCCAAAAAATTTAAATACCCCAATTTAAAACTATTGTGTTGATAGTCCGGCCTGGCGGAACAACAGGGTCTTCAGTGCGCAGCGAAACACCCGGAGGTCGGAGATCTTACGAATTTCCGGGGGCAGTTTGTTCCACAGGGCTGGGGCTCCCACAGAGAAGGCCCTCCCCCTGGGTGTCCCCCTGCATGGACACTCAGGAGCAAAAAACTGAGCACAAGGTGCCTGGGGAGGGAAACCCAGGCCGGCAAGCCTGGGCTTGTGCTAGGCCTCCAAGGGCCTTCCTTACCTCTGAGGCACCTGTGCTCAACTTAATGACAGTGTGGGGGTTGTTAAACAAGGCAATCATGTGGGTGCCCCACTTAATGACCACCACAATTTGTGACCATAATTGGCAGGCTCCATTACAGTTGTAACTCAAGGACTCTGCAGAATACTTCAGAGCTTTTTACTCATATGTATATTCTCAATCATCTCTTATACGAATCCAATTTGCTCCACATGAGATCACAAGGACTAAAAGTTAGCATGATTTATCAATCTGGTGACTACAGGGTAGCAGAGAAATTAGTTATCAACAGCTTTTCACTTCACAGTTCAATCTTTGCTATTAGATTGAATTCATATACAGTACTATAATTTTAAAAATCATTTTTTTAAAAATAGATTTCATGGAAATCAATTAGGTGCATATAGATGTACAAAGATAGTACATTAAATAATTAAAGCCAAATATTAAGATACAAAGATATGAACACAGCAAAATTTTATTCAAATACATTATCCATAAAATTAATCACAAATTTAATCAGTAACATGTAACAATAAACACAAATCCATGTTGCTCATGTTTTATATTGTATTTATAATGCCTTGGTCTTATAAGTTACCAAAAACAAATCTAATTGACACAGACAGATTGTTGAGGAAGTTGAATAAAATTAATAATTTGTTAAAAAACCATTTTAAGAAAATATTTCAACATGAGAAAATCTTGATGCAAATAGAAAAAATCATGCACCTCATGCTATTCGAAATGACAACATCAGAAGTCTCTAGCAGCCACTTGTGAGTCATTTTATTCCAAATAACACAGACCCATATCAGATGTGATTTGTGATGCAAAACAGCTCCTAAATAAGCCTGGGGAGCAGAGCATATTTATGCTGCAATTCTTAGCCAACTTCCCAAGCAATAAGTCATATGACCCAATTACTGATACAAACATTTATCTTTTCCAAATCAAATGATGATCATTCCTCAGAAAATCAACACCTCTTCTCGAATTACTGACTTCCACAATTTAGAGACAGGAAAGTATTTCCCTCCCCTTAGCTATTTTTAACCTGATTTCTGTTCTAGAATTCTACATTGACCTTGAACTGGATTTATATCAAATCACCCAAAGAAGTTCCTCAAACGATTATCAGACATTCACACAAAAGACAAAAATAACAAAAAATCTGAAGGTTCAAGATTAATTAGAATTGATTAATAGAACAATCATTAGGAAAACTAAAATTCAAAATTCACTTTTCAAAAAATACCTATTTTCACTACAGATTTGCAATTTAAACAACAGCAAAAATATATGTCCAAATTTGGTAAAGTAAAAGACTGAAAGTTAAGAACAGGGTCTTGAATGATGCTCATGCCTTACTAAATCTGAAAGGGTACTTTGCAGCCTGTTGTTTAGTTTGGTTGAAAGAAAGGGTGATGCTGAAGGATAGATGTTTATTGGACTTGAAAGGGCATGATTTGATTTGGGTTACATGCAGTGGTGGTATTCAGCTGGTTCGCATCAGTTCAGCAGAACCAATACGTAATTTTTTAGTTCGGCGAACTGGCTCCAAAATGGCCAGACTAGCATGCATTCATGTGCATTCACTGGTTTAACCAGGAATGCACGTGGATTGTGTTAGCTAACCTCTTGATTAGCAGTTCACTGGCACCTACCGAACTTGGCCAAGACCATGCACAGATCATCTCAAAAGTCACAGGGGGGAGGCAGGCTTAGAAGACCGTGGGCTGAAGCGAATACTTCTGTATGAAACATCGTCACCCCATATAACTCATTCCTCACTTCAAAAAAACCAGGCTCTTTTTCCACAGGCCTATATTTACACAGGAAAAAAGAGACTGTGAAGCATGCACACATACACACCCCAACAGCCAAGAACAACTTTCTCCACAACTGGTTTTACCCATGAAATTCCTGCAGCTAGTTCGCCAGAGCGCAGGATTTCCGAATAACTTCACTCTCCAACCCCATGGAAAAAACCACTTCTGGGTCCCAAAAGACTGCCAATTGGCTGATAGCAGAGCATTTAAAAATGAACCGCCACAAGCAGCTGTTGAAGTTAAAAAGGTCTGGTTTTTTGTTTTGGGGTTTTTTTTTGATGGCACGATGAGTTTGAGAGTGGTGAGCGATGCTGGGAGAAAAGCTCATTTAGGACTGGAGTGTGTGGCCAACAAGTAAGGGAGAGGGATGGGGTTTTGCTTTGCTCTTATAGCGAGTCTAACCCTTTTCATAAGGATCCGAATAGTCTGTGTAAGCATAGAGGGGCAACATCTAAAAACACATACCAGACTCCTGATGGAGCAACTGGGAAAACCTTCAGCAACAAATTGGGTCAGTAGAGCCCACAGGCAGAATATGATTGTAGCAGTCTCCACCACCAATTATATAGCCATCATAACAAAGAGCCACTAAGAGGTTGCTTTGTTTCCTAGATTTTTCTAATATTTTAAAATTTGGCAGTGTTCGGCGCGATGCCTTATGCAAAGAGGTCAACTTTGTATAAACTTATTTTTGCCTGTTTGGAATCGCCTATTTAGCTTCGTTGGATAACTGCAGGTTAATTTACCTGTGGTTAAATTGGCAAAGTAGTCTTCAAGATACAGCTATACTGGCTGGCTGGAAGTAAGAAAAATATGCTTAACCTTGGTATATTGTTGCTATGTGGCCTTATCAACGCATTGTCATAAGCTCTTGGGTTACACACAACAGTAATAAAAATATGCTTAGCTTGCTATGTAAATGTAATTACTGTGTTGTGTTGGAATTGGGTGAACTCAGTGCTGAAATTCAATCAAATAAGTATAGAGTTGGTAAAGCTTTGCAAAATAAAAAAACACCAAAATTTGGATTGTTTTAATTATTGCTTTTTAGTTCAATTTTAATTTTAGTGCTTTATTAGAGACTAATGTGAAATGAGTAATAGGCATGCTGAGGAGGATTTTCCTCCTCTAGTAGGCTGCTCGGTTTTGGTAGGGTGCAGTTCTTGTGTAAGATATTATTTTGGCCTTTCATTCAATATAGTAGACAATTATTTAATTGACAAACTATTTGCTAAACTTTATGCTGTCATTTGACTCTCAATCCAAGTTAGTATTGATCCAGATCAGTGCTGGGTTGCCCCCGGTTCAGACTGGTTCGCAAGAACCGGTAGTAAAACTGGCAGGAGGCCTCGCCCACCGCCCTGGATGTCATCATCAGTGACCAGCAATCTGCGCATGCGCAGAAGTTTCTGTGCATGTGCAGAAGCCAGGCGCGCGAGTAATCCCGTTGCGAACCGGTAGTAAAGGTAAGTAGAACCCACCCCTGATCCAGATGTAATCATTATTTGATCATTGTCTAATTTTTAAGCTATTCATTCATTTAGAAGTTGCCTATACATAGAACTAGGTGGCTTATAGTGATAAAATGAGACGGAATAATACTAAATTAAATGTATTGATTAAAAAAATCCCACAATTGCTATTGGCCTAATTATGATTCTTTATAAAAAAGCACTTTTTTACTCTCTTTCTATTAACAGATAAGGTATAATCTTGACCTAGGGATACAAACTGTCTGCCATCAAGAAATCCATCTGGGGCCCTGGTGTTTTGAAAATAAGTGCCTGCAGCACTCTCTTTTAGCTAGGATGTATTGGGAACATGGTCCTGAAGGAGGCAAAGACCCAATATATAGAAGGCCTTATAGCAGGGATCCTCAAATGGCCCGCCAAAGAAATTAATCCTACCTGGCCAACACCATGAGGCTGCCCTACCCACATCACCCGCCAGCCTCTGCCCTTTGGCCAAGCACAGGCCTTACTTTTTTTTTTTTTATAAACACTTTATTAAACTATTACATTAAAAACATAAAAAATTATTTCACTCAATAACAACTACTTGTGGTGTTTTTCTTGTGACAATAATTCGTGCATTATTTACAAAAATTAAACTGTGCATATTTACATTCTTATTTTATTTATTTTATTTATTTATTTATTTATTAGATTTATATACCACCCTACTCCCGAAGGACTCAGGGCAGTGAACAGGCACAAAATAAGATACACAGATACAAAAGTTAAAAAACATAATTAAAATCAGATTAAATAATTTAGCCCAAGACAATTAAAAATCCCAATAATTTAAAAACAGATTAAAATTTTGATTTAAAAGAATTTTAAAACAGGGGAGAAAATTAGGCCAGGCTGGCTTGCTGGAATAGGAGAGTCTTAAGAGCACAGCGGAAAGTGCGCAGATCCGGGATCCTCCGTATCTCTATTTTCGTATCTCTATTTTATCTATTATTCTATCTCCATTCTATCCAGTTATACCACTGTTCCCACACATTGTAAAGTACCGATGTCTCTTTATCTTTTAAACTCAGCGTTAATTTGTCCATTTCTGCACAATTCATGATCTTTTGTATGACCAGTTTCTCTGCGGGTGTACATGTCTGTTTCCAACATTGAGCATAGGCAATCCTGGCAGCGATTGATATGTGTAGTACTAGATATTTTGTGCCCTTCACGTATATATATATTTTTTGAAGATCCCCAATAGGAAGAGTTCCGGTTCTAAGTCTAATTGTTCATTAGTAATTTCCTGTAGCTAATCTTTAATTTTTAGCCAATATTTTCGAGCCTCAGGACAGGACCGCCACATATGGTAGTATGTTCCCTCTTTCTTTTTACATTTCCAACATATGGGGCTCATTTTAGGGTACATTTTTGCTAATCTTGAAGGGGGTAAGTGCCACCTGTAGAACATTTTATATGCGTTTTCTTTATATGCTGCTGATTTTGTTAGTTTATGGTTTCTGTTCCATATGTTCTCCCAATCTGATAGTTTTATGTTGTGTTCAATATTTTGACCCCATGCAATCATGCATCCTTTCACTACTTCTTCCTCCAATTCTACTTCCAAAAGGTATTTGTAAATTTTAGTAATATTTTTTTTTTGTCTGGTCCTAATAAAATTTTGTCTAGTTGTTGTGGTTTAAGATATATTCCATAATCTTTTATATCTTGTTTATATCGGTTTTGTAATTGGAGATAAACCCACCAGTCAACTCGTAGCCCTTGTTCTTGGAGGTCCTGTAATGTTTTTAACTTTCCATGGTTATCTAATACGTCTTTATATTTTAACATTTTATTCAAATCTAAATTGTTTGGATGGATCATCGCTTCCATTGTGGATAGCCAAGTTAGGATTTTTATATAGTGTTTCTTTTTAACTTTAATCCAATTATTTATTAGCGAATCTCTAATCAGGTGTCTGTGGAAGTATTGTTGTTTTGTAGGTCCTGTTTCCCACAGAAAGGCATGCCATCCTCTCTGCAGGTCATGATCTTCTATAGCTAGTATTCTTTTATTCTTCAAATTGATCCAATTTTTTAACCAAACTAATGTTGCTGCACTATAGTATAATTCCCAGTTTGGCAATCCAAATCCTCCTCTGCTCTTTGTATCTTGTAGTAATTTCATTTTTATTCTGGGTTTTTCCCCCTGCCAGATAAATTTTGCTATTGTTTTATTGAGGTCATTAAAAAAGGTCTTTTCTAATTTAACTGGGATGGTCTGGAACAAGTATAGAAATTTTGGTGATATAGACATTTGTATGGCTGCTATTCTTCCTAAAAGTGACAGTTGCATGTTAGTCCATAGTTCTAAATCTTTTTTTTTGTTTGTTGTAATAGTTTGTTATATTTATTCTCCTTTATTGATTTGCAATGTGCTGTCAACCATATACCCAAGTATTTAATTTTTCTTGTTGTTTGGAGTCCAAGTGTTCTTCCCAATTCTGTTATTTGTAGTTCTGTTAAATATTTCGCTAGAAGTTTCGTTTTCTGTCTATTGATTTTCAGTCCTGGTACAGCTCCATATCTTTCTAATTCCTTAATTAGTATTTGTCCTTTCTCTACTGGTTTTTCGATAATAAAAGCCAAATCGTCTGCAAATGCTTGCAATTTATATTCTTCATTTCTGGTTTTCAATCCTTTTATTTCTGAATTTTGTCTGATTCGTTCTAGTAATACTTCTAGTGACAGTATGAAGAGCAGAGGAGATAGAGGACAACCCTGTCAAACTCCTTTCTCTATATTTAAAGTTTGGGTGTTTGTGTATACAGCTTTCATAGTATCCCATAAGTTTTGGGTCATTGTATATTGGTTATTATTTTATTTAAAATAAAAATTTAGTTCTTCCTTAATTTTCTTAATCAATTCCTCATCTTTCAATAATTGAGAATCTAGCGTCCATCTTCCCCTTGGTTTATTTTTTACCCTTCCAATTGATTCTGAGTGGGTTGTGGTCTGCCCACGAGTTCGGTAAAATTTCTACTTCTGTCACTTCTTCTGCTAATTCTCCACTTATCCACGCCATGTCAATGCGTGACCATGACTGATAAGGGTTCGAATAGAAAGTAAATGGTCTCTTTTCTGGATTTAATGTTCTCCATATATCTATTAAATTTAATTCTTTAGTCATTTCTACATATATTTTGGGTAGTTCTCTCTTTTTCCCCTTTCTTCTTTCCCCCATTGTAGTCTTTTTGATAATCTGTTATCGCATTATAATCTCCTATGATGTAAATATTTTTTCTTTCTAATTCAATAATTTTATCATATAAGGTTTTGTAAAATTCTTTTTGATTGTCATTGTCAAATTACCACTAATATTTGTTAAAAAAATTTATCTGTATTTCTATTGCCAGAATTCTTCCTTTGGGGTCTGCAAATATTAAGTTTGCCTTTATCTCTTCTTTAATGTAGACAGCTATTCCTTTCTTTTTCTCCTGATCTGCAGAAGCCATAAACAGAGTCCCTAATTTGAGGCAATCTAAATATTTTTCGTCTGTTTTTAAGATGTGTGTTTCCTGTAAACGTATAACATCTGCATTTTGTTTTATTAAGTTTGTCAAAATCCTTTTTCTTTTTGTCATTGAGTTTAGTTCATTTATGTTAATAGATAAGAGTTTCACCACTTTTTCCATAACCCTAATTGTATCTTGTTTTTTGTCTTCTATTTGCTCTTATTTCCCTTTTTGTTCTGATCGCTGTCTTAGGCTCTTCTCTTTCTTGTTGTTGTTGATTGGTATCTTTTACTTCTTGTTCTTCGTCTTTATTTTTTGGTTGGTCTTGTTCTTCTTGAGAGTTTGAATCTAGATCTTCTCTGCTGCTTTGGTCTTCCGATCCCGTCAGTTGCTCATAAAGTTCCTGTGCTTTTTCCAGAGTGTCTATTTTGATTTTCCTTTCTTCCCAAGTGACCAGCATCCTTCTCGAATCAGCCATCGGAACAGAATATCTCTTTTATTCAGGTGTTTAGCCAGGAATTTATAATCCCTTCTCTGCTCTCTTACTCTTCTCGGGAGGATCTGAATCTCTTTTCCTTTATATATTATTGCTTCTTTTCTGGATATCTTATATATTATGTCTCGAACTTTCCTCCTTGTGAATCGAACATGGACCTCCTTTGGGAGCTTGTTTTTTTCTTCCATAGCTCGTGTTGACCCTGTAAATGTCGTCCATTTCCTTCAATTTCCTCCTTGTCTCTATCTAGTGCTTCGGCTAAAATTTCTGCCATCACTAGTTCCAGATCTTCATCTTTATTTTCCATTATATTTTGGAATCTTAGGAACGACGCAGCTTTATCCATTTCAATATAGATAATAGAATCTTCCATTTCTTTGCTCACCATTTTTATTTGCTGGTCCACTTTTTCTAGTTTCTTCTCTGTTTCTTCTGTTCTTTTCTCTACTTACTTTATTGTGTGTTCATTCTTTTCTAATGCATGTTGAATTGACCCAACTTTTTCATCAAGCTTTGATATGTCTGATCTCATTTCCATTTTTAGTTTCCCCATTTCCTCTTTCAGTTCATTAATATCAGCTCTTGTCTCTAAATGATTCTTTACCATTATTTCTTGGAGTTTAACCATCAATTCTTGCAATGTGAGTAGTGAGGTTTGAATATTAACATTCTATGCGGTGTTTTGTTTCTCAGCTGTCAGCATTCCTTCTATTGTTTTTTGCGTCATCGGAGAAGCTGTTGTTGCTGAGGATGTTAGGGTTAGTGTGGTCTTCTTTCCAGTCTTAGTTATTGTGGTTTTTTAGTAGTCATCTCTTCTAGTATCTCTTTCTGTTTTTTAAGGATATTATACACGTTGTCCCAAATTGGCATTAAACAACTTAAAATTATTTTCCTTAAAAGTTAGCTGTTGATATAATATGGTACTTGCTATTAATTCTTATGCTGTGATATTATTTGTATAGATCTCAGTATTCACAACACTATTCAGTAAATATGTCATTAGCTTAGTTTAAGCTGTAAATATAAATCTTAATAAGTATTATACATAAATATTAATATAAAAGTCAGAAAATCTAGGTTGTATGTCAATACATATATATAGTGTATAAATAAAAAAATTACTTATAAGAATAATTTAGCTAGAACTTTCAAACAATTAATATATAGCAATAAATATAATCAATTCCTTAATTAGATTAAATAGCCTTATGTTGAGTAAATTAATAAGTTAAGTAATAGTTCAAAATTACTTACAGTAAGCTCTATTGAAATTAGTTATACTTTAAATCTATGGTATATATAATGAAATATATCTAGTTGTAAATACCAATTAGCTATAAAGTTAATGGTTTCCAAAAAGCATTCAAGTTATTATATCCAGTAGTAAAAGAGAAAAGATAATCAATTAGCAGATTCAAAGAACAGAAGATAAAAAAGTCACCAATTCATCAGTTTCTTATTACTATTTCAGTCTCTCAGAAATTCCCATCAACTCAGTCTTCTTTATTATGTGGAAAAGTTGCTGAGTAATGCTCTTCATTATGGACTCTCTCCACTTCCGTTATTTCAGCTGCTTCTTAA